GTCAGCGTTTGTAATGCACCAGCCACTTCAGACCATGCAAATTATTTACAAAACCTGGATTTGATCATCTTGGATGAAGCTTCTGTGATTCCTTCATTTGTTCTTCATGCTATTGATAAAGCCTTGCGAGATATCACTGGCATTGCTACTGTTTTTGGTGGTAAAGTTGTGCTCTTGGGGGAAGACTTTAGGCAAGTCCTATCCATATTGCCAAAAGGAAGTCATGAGGCAATCATTGAAATCTGTATTAAAAATTCTCCTCTATGGCTGATTTTCATCCAATACAGATTGTCAAAACATCAGGATAAAAGCAGATCAAAGGGACTTTGCAGCATGGCTCTTGCATATTGGCAATGGAACATCAGCAGCTTCGCAAGACACTAATCTTGCTGTTAATGACATAGAAGTGTCTCAAATTTCATGCATTGGCAGCTCTCTGGTGGATCTTCAACAATACATCTCAGGAAGAGAGAAGGAGCAGAGTAATTCTTTTACCAAAGAACTCACACTGCCTCCAGATCAAGGAAGATGTTTTGAGACAACTTCCAGGTGACTGCTGCACCTATTATAGTACAGATAATGACTCCTCATAAACTGAGTTTAAAACCCGGCTCAATAGTAATGCTTCTTCATAACATTTCTATCCAGAATGGACTATGCAATGGTACAAGACTGGAAGTCGTGGCCATGCACCAACATTCAATTGTGGCTTCCTTGAAAAGTGGCTCACTAATTGGCAGATTTGTCCTCATCCCCAGAATAAAGCTGGCTCCAAGCGACTAATTTGCCATTCACCTTGGAGAGAACCCAGTTTCCTGTTTGTTTGCCATATGCCATGACTATTAACAAGTCACAGGGGGAGACATTTCAGAAGGTGGGATTGTCCTTAACTCTGCCAGTGTTCAGTCATGGGCAATTGTATGTAGTATACTCTTGAGCTTGCAAAATCTCAAATGTAAGGGTTAAGGTGATAGAAACAGAGAGACAAGGAAGAAGAGGAGAGTGAACTGTTACTAAGAAAATTGTCTGCCGAGAACTTGAAGAACTGGAGTGTTTTCAGAAATTCTGGAAACGATTTTATTAGATATATATATATATATATATATATATATATATATATATATATATATATATATATATATATATATATATACAAATACACAGAGATTTTAAATGAATATCTTTCAAAAGAGGAAATTATATTTGGCATGTATCATATTGGAGGAAACTTGCTGCCTAAGTATCTCATTCTATTATATATGTAGAGATTTTAATTGCTCCTTCTTCAATGCATTAATTTTATATATACAGACATGTAGAAAAAGTTTATTGTTTACTCAACATTCTATTAGTCGGTCCATGGAAATTCCATAGGTCCAGCTAGTATATGTGCGCACACACACACACATATATAAGTAATTATTTTTTAAATATGTATTCATCGTGACACAGAAATTACCATGTTTCGAAGCCAAAAACCAATCTTATAAAAAACCTAATACTAATCCTTTATATATACACCCAAAGTCAAATCAACCCCCATCTATAATAAAGCATATACCTTCATCTATTGGAAAAAAGAATAAGTATAAATTCTGCTAATGAAAAAATATTCTATGAACACAGCAAATTTTATAATAAAGCTTTAAAGAATAGTGGCTATAAATGCCCTGACATTAATTACATAAAAAATAATAATAAAAAACAGAGAAGAAATAAAAGAATCATTTGGTACACACCTCCATTTAACCAAATGGTTAGGACATAAATTTATTGCTTTAATTGATAAACATTTTCCTAGAAATAATACATTTAGCAAAATCTTTTAATAAAAATACCCTAAAATTAAGTTACGGTTGTACTGAAAATTTAGAAAAAACATAATAAAATTCTAAGAAATAGTGATCCAGAAATAAGAATAAACAATAGTAAAGAAAAATTATGTAACTGTAGGAATCCTGAAAATTATCTTTTGAATAATAAATGTCTCACAGAATCTGTAGTTTACCAATGCACTATTTCATCTACTGAGAATCCTAATATGTTGAAATTTTATATTGGATGTACTAAAAATGAATTTAAATTATTATGGTGCCAACAACTGATTTCCTTCAATAATAAAGTATCGCAACCAAACATTCCTATCCAAATATTTTTGGCATTTAAAAGAAACAAAGAAAACACCCACAGTAAAATGGAAACTAATAAAAAACGAGAACATGTACATCTTTAAATGACCTAGATGAAAAGTTATATATTATTAAGTTCCTGAAAGATGAAAATTTATTAAATGAAAGAAGTGAAATAGCAGTTTTTTGTAAACATTCTCATGTTTTCCTTAAAAAATAATTATAAAAATAATTTGCATAATTATATATCTATTATTTGATAAAATAGTTTTAAAATGCGTAATTAAATTCTAATATTTTAATTTCACGATACCATATATAGTTTATTAGTAAATATAAGTATCTTTATAAATAAAAATATAAATAATGACTTAATCATATTTGAAAACCCCTTTAAGAAAATATTGATGTAGTTTAAAAAATAAGAAAATAAATAAAAATGCCAATTGAATTGTAGTGTAACCCAAGAAAACCAGGCTGTGATGACATGTTAGCATAAAAGGAAGTCAGTATCAACAAACAGCAATTTCAAACCCCCACTTAGCCTTAACTGATTTTAACTTTGCCACATAAAAATATACTTGTCAAAAAAGCCAACATCCACTTAATGAAAATTTTGAATTCTCATTACCCCACCAACTTAAAATATATAATACTATATGGCTTATAAATAGAGTAAATCATTTTTTCATTGCTTGAAAATGGAACTGAACTTTGAATTTTAAGTTTAATTTAAGATTTAGGTTTTGGCTTTGAAACATGGTAATTTTGTGTTATGATGAATACATATTTTTAAAAAAATAATTATAATATTATGCTCTACTGTGTATTGAGCACTGTTTTTTGAAAATAAATGTAAAAAGAACTCTGGATTATAAATTTGACTGTTCTTTTTTATTTTGATATATATATAATTATTTATTTAAAAATATGATTCCAAATCGCGACATAAGAAGTCCCATGTTTCAAAACAAGAGCCAAAAACTTCAATATAATTATTTAAATTAAATTGAGTTAAAATAAGCTCTGTTCCATCTTCAAGCGAAATTTTTTTTTGAATAACGTGTTTCTGAAATTTACGTGTTTTAAAAATTGAAATCAAAATTTCCATGGTAACAGCTAGGGCGAATTGTTTAAGTTGGGTAGGCGGGTGTTGGGTGTTAATAATAAGTATCAGTATAGAGTTACTTTCGTAGATGTCAAGTCAGGGAAAGGTGGGGGTGTCTAAATTTGAAACGGAAGATGTATTAACCCTCGTCTAGTTTGCATGTCTATGGAGATTTATTTATTTTTTTTTTTTTTTTTTTTATGAAAGGGATTTGTGCATATAAAAAAAAACTGTCGTAACGTTTGTTTTTTGACGACTTCATAAAGGGTTATCTTTTTTTATGGTATTTAAACTATTTATTTGGGCTATGGATTATGAAGGGTGTTATATTGTATGCATGTTTTTAGTTAATTATTCAAACCATAAATCTGATGAGTGGGCTATGGATTAAACAAGTTATTATATTGTATGCTAGTTTTTAGCTAATAATTCAAACCAAAAATCTGATGATGCCTACAAAAAACCGTTAACTCGTGTCTATTGTTTAATAGATTATTATTATTTAGAAGCTTAATTATGTGCAATTTCTCATGGAGGCATAAAGGGCATGGATCATCCCAAGTTTTATATATATATATATATATATATATATATATATATATATAAATAAATAAAGGTAGAAAAGAGGTTAACCCGTCAGCATTTTCTCCACAACTGTTTCCCTTCCTTTTCCTATCTTACTCCCCCTCCCCTACATCTCTCTCTAGACATACATATCTCTCTCTCTCCCTTCCCCTATATTAAAACCTTATTTTAAAACCCATCTTATGTTTGATAAGTACCTACTCTGCTTGTGCCTGGATAAATTTAAAATTCATTTATTGCTGTAAAATCATTTAGTCTGATGAGATGAGATCGATTATTTGATCTTGCAAAATAAACTATTACCATGGATTTCTAAAGTCTCCACTTTCATCATTATTATTTGTTCTGTTCTTACATTGAGCTCTCTTTGGACTTATATCTTCTTTGGAATTATCCATAGTAATTATCATTTATATATATTTATTTATTTTTGTGTATTTAGGCAGCAATCCTTTCATGCACATTTCATTGAATATGACAGACAATGTGCTTTAAATTAGTTTTTTATAGAATTTCTCATGTGATCTTATAATTTTTTCCTTTTCGGTAGATAAATTATATAAAAACTGTCTAAGTATTCTTTTTATCTCTGAGCGCTTTCGGCTATACATTTAGCAATTTTCAAGGTAGAAATATATAAACTGTTAACAAGAAATAGATTGTTGTATGTATTTATATAATGTTTTTATTTTCAAAACTTGGTCAAGATATTGTGTTCATGTTCATAGTTTATATTAGTGTTGGTTTTTTGTTTTTATTAATAAGGTTTCCATTATTTTTAGCTTTTTTTTTTTTTTTTTTTTTTTACATGTAGATAATGCTATTTGTGTTATCAACAACTATGTTATGAATAGGGTCCAGTAGGTCTCCATGAGTATTTAAATGAGACATAATTGAGCTATGATCAGAAAGATGTAGTGTGAGTTTTCTTGTCAACCGTGTTGCAGTATGTCTTATATAATTGTTTACGAATTTTGATTGATCAGGAATACAATTCCTTAATGTACATTTAAATTCATAAATAATATTTGTTCTACCTAATCTTGTTCTGAGAGGCGAATTATTATTTTTAAGTATAAGGTTGGCGGTTATTTACACACACACACACACACACACCAATATATGAAAATTTCGGATCAAATCTTAAAGTGATGGAAATGAATTATAGATAACATTACCTTGACCAAAGTGTAGACAAGATAGAGCACAATGCCCACAGCATACATAGGCAACACAATACCCATCATACCTCTGCCACTGCCTGCTTGTTGCTGCTGTGCTCTCATCTCTGATGCAGCACGTAATCCTGGATGATGTCCAGGCTGAAAAATATATCATTTAAAATTTTTTTTCATATATAAAAATCTAGACAGTTTTGTTGTAACCAGAGTGAAAAAATTATAGACAATGAGAACAAATTCATTTAAGCTTCTAAATCTATTTCAAAATCAATGCATCAAAAGATTTGGTATCACCATGAATCTGTTTACTTTTTTTCATAAGAAAATTAAGAGTAAAATAAAAGTCACTCTTAAATTCTTGCTATTTTTTACTCATTTTTTACCATGTCTTGTGTCTATAAGTTTTATGGGGCTGAACATTCCTAACTTGATAACCTTATCTTAACTCATAAAAAGCTGTATTTTCATCTAAATTCAGGCAATGAAATCTAATCAATTTGAATTTATAAGCTTTAAAATGAGGTGAAAAAAATACTGTTTTTCAAGTTAAGGAGAAAATAGCTAAATTCATTTTAAAATTAAATGGATTAATGAAATTCCTATGCAATTCAAGTATGCAAAGATATCATTTTCATCCTGAATACAGATGATGTCATACATTTCTCAATTACTTAAATAATATAATTTGGATTGGGAAACAAGAAATGTGTTGTACAATTACATCAATTCATGATTATTCTTAGCATAAACAAATTCATAGAAATAAACCAATATAAAAGAATAAAAGACACATGTCAAAACAAATGGACTAATAACTCAAGCAGCATAAGTTTTTTTACCTTTATTATAAAAGAAGTTTTGAGCTCCATCACACACTATCAGCATTTGACTTTGCATGCAGGTAAACATACAACGCAACACTTACCCAAACTTTCTACCAACCAGCCAAGGATTATCCAGTGTTGCATTGATTCTCAATTTTGTTAGTGTACATTAAAAACTGGAAAATAGCATAATGTATGCTCGCAAGTTAACAGAATGATAGACAAATACCATATTGAGAAATAAGAATATGAGCCCTGTTTCCCATATTATATGTAGATTTTTTATTCAGTGTTTTGCCTGCTCATCTGGGCAGATATCAAGGTGATACTTGAGACAACTTCTGCTATGCCAGCTCTTCTCCCCAACCAACTCCTCGCCCATTTCATCCCAATGTAGTAGGTGGCAATACAAATGGAGGCTTCAGAACTGATTGACAGACACATCCATCTCCTGCCAAAGACAGACCAGAACTCTCCCCAATCCCAAGTATGACTGTTTATATAGACCAGCACCCAGATATACCCCATGCATCACATGCACATATGTAATGTATATTACATGTTGTGAGTGACTTGCATGTGCTTCTGCTATTTAACGTGCACACACAATTTTACGAAATTTGAAGTAAGACATTGGAATAATACAGCATAGAGGTGGTCATAAAGTAAATATCTAATTTTATTATGACAAGGTGAATTTAGATTAAACTTAAAAAAAAATAATAACCCCAAAAAGTGAATTCAGGTAAGAATGGCACAAGTGGAAGGCAAGAAAAAAAAATATGACTAATTTTTTTAGCAAAAATAACATTAATGTTTTTTTTCTAGTTTTTTGGGAAGCAAATGCACTGTATTTATTGACTATCTTCAAAAGGTTTGCACCATCAATGGAGAGTACTATGCCAACGTGTTAAGGCAGTTACAAAAGTCTAGCAAAACCAAATGCCCAAGAAAACTAATGAAAAGGGTCTTGTTTCATCAGATCAATGCTCCAGTACACGTCCTTGGTTTCAATGACTGTTGTGCATGAGTGACTTTGGACTGGTTGATCACCCTCCCTATTCTCCTGATTTGGCTCCATTGGGCTTTTGTTTGTATATCTTGTGATATTCACACAAACACACACACACACACACAAATGGATTTGCTTACTTAGTCATTTATGCAAAGGGATTGATAGAGGAAGTAAGGGAAAAAAATGAAAAGGTTAGGAGTGAAGTTTGGCAAAGTATCTATGGGATACAGTCTCAGACTCCTTTTGGCCGAGTGAAGCTGATGATGTTCACTGAAAGAGAGGACAGAAGTTTTCCTAATTTTATTTTGCTTTGATTTTATTTATTTAAATATATTCATTTTTAAAATGGGTATATGTATATTTTGGTTTTGGCTGATCATTTTTTACTAGCCTAAACAATATTTGTACATATATCCCACCATAATTCAAATAATATTAATTTCCTGCTTGATCTTGTCTTGATAGAGGATATTTGAACGTATGCCAAGTTAAAACTTAATAGATAATATCATACTGTCAGTTCTATAACTAACTCTGCCTTAACACATAATCAGAGCTTCTCTTCATAATTTTATTTACTATTTATTTACATTTCTCTGCTTGGGATTGTGTTACCAGTTCCTTTTAAAGTCTACTTCCAACTCTATACTTCTAGCATCACTACCTGAAAGCTGATATTTTATTCACCAATTGCTCTTTTTTCTTCTTCCTCCGCCAATAGGAATAAATAGGTTCTCCTATCATCTGATACTCCCTCCCTCCTAGTTCCAATCTATACTTTTAATGTCTCTGCTAGAACTGAATTTTTATTCACTAATTATTTATCTTATCTTTCTCTCCCCACCAATAGGAGTAGATAGGCTTGCCTATCGACCAGTTTACAATGCTCTCTGGTCTTTTGAACAGGAGTAGAGGTTCATTCCTCGTTTCCTGTTTAGGATTGGGTTTCTGGATCTTGCCCTTTCTTATGTTGATACAATTTTACACAGTAACCCTCTACCTTGAGTGACCCTTGAGCTTTGTATTGGGCAAACATTAGTATAAAAAGAAAAAGAAAAAAAAGAATAGAGCAATTAGCACTGCATTTTTGCCAGTGATAGTGCAGAGCTACCCCAGAACATTTTTGTTACTACTACTAAAACATAACTCTCTGCATAACTAAAGCTCACACCCACCATAAAATCTTCAACAAGTGTCTACAAATGTCAGTGGTTGCAAATTTTCCATCATGTAGGAATTCAATGACACACCTTTTCTTCAGATACTTTCATGCCTAATACCATTTTGTTGCATAACTGCTATTTTTAACAAAACAAAAATTATGGGTTATTGATGAGAAGGTTCAATGTATACTGTCATAACACCTGCACAACATCCACCTGAGTTGTTGCAAGACAACAGAATAAAATAGCAGGCATTACTTTCAGTACAACTCTTGTAATATATGTACTTATTGAGTTTAGAGTTGTAGTAAATATTGCGTTCCACAAAAGACTGGCACAGAAAGTAACAAGAATGTCATGAGATTTTTTTACTTTTATAATCGATAATCATTAAGTTTTCTATATTTTGCAGTTTTCACTGAAAGTGCTTCATTTTGCCTCCAACAAAAACTACTCATTTCTACTAGGAAAATAACAGCATGATAATGGGCAAATAACCTCTAATTTTTATGTTATAAAATCGGATAGGATTTAATAAATTTTTAAATGACTGCAAGTGTTAAAACAGATTTCATTTAAGTTTCCTTACCATATATGATTAAGGCTGTATAAAATTAATTAACATTCATAATTATCTTGGGTATGGTTGTTATGCAAAAAAAAACTTTTAGGTTCTTGTAATTTCAGTGTTACAATAGTCAATTTTTATTGGTTTGGCCAAAAAGCTAGTTTGCTTATTAAGTACAAAATTTACTTAATAAACTGAACAAATATTTCAGCTAACCCAATATTTCATTATTTTTCCTTAAAATAGTTAAATGATTGTTTACATTTTAAGTCTGTATTATATTGCAATGAATGATTTCTTCAAATTTATTTAATATCATTTTTGAGTGATTCATCATACAAGATGAATCTTTAAAACAATGACAGCATTCTGTAGTTGAAAACATCTCATGATAATCAATGTCAGGTAATGGAAAACAATTTGTAACAATTTTGACCTGTTATATTCTTTATTATTCAGACCAGCATACTCATCTTGGTTGTTAAACTCACATTTTGACCACTGTATCTTCAAGCCTTCTTCAGGTACCTGCTGTTGTGCACAACATCAGTGCATGTGAGGTACTGACAACCTCTTCATTAGACTTAGCACAGTGATGAATACCATTTGGGAGCTTCTGATTAAGAAAGAAAGGATGCTAAAAAATTCCACCACCAGCAACTTTAAATTCACTGAAAGTCAAGACTGACAATTTCAATTTAGATGAGAGGCTTTTCTTTCTTTCTTTTTTTTTTTTTAAAGAACTGTTTCTATTAACAAACTGTCATTAATCACTTATATTGTTTTTAAAGTGGCAGCATTTTCCGCCCAAATCATGCAGACCTTCTTAAGTATTATACAGAAAAGTAAGTCTTTGTTTCCCTCTTCAGTAGATAATACAGATACATAGTATATGGATACACATGGAATTTTCAATGCTTATCTAGTGTTATCCTTAATACTATGAATATTTAAGTATAGTCTTTGTTACTAGTTAAAAAAAAAATTCAGTATCTTTTAACAGATAATTATTACCAGCCTTGAAAATAACATGAAGTTTATGGAGTCTCATGCAACCGAGAAACTTTAACTACCATAATTTATACTTCCTCTTATCACTGTTGAACAAAAAGTGATATCTGAGTCCATAACCTATAACAGATGCATACTATTCTGGATAGAATATTTTTATTTTTTTTATTTCAAGATTTTTATTGGAGTTACAGACACCACATGAGTAGTACACTAGCACATTTACTACTTTTTGTAAAGTTTGATGGCCAGCACAAAAATATGACATGTAATACCTTCAGTTATATACAGGTTGAAAAAACTTGAAAAAAGTATGGGTTTAGAGAGTAAGCAAGAAATTCACCCAATGTCAATCCTACTAAGAACTTTAGATCTATCATGGAGAACATTAAAATATTCTCCTGAACTTGCACAAACATTTGATGCAGATGATTTACAAAGTTTTAATGGGATTAAAAAATGAATGTGAAAATTAAATTTCTTTAAAAAGGGAAGAAAATAAAAATTTGTTTACAAATTCAAAAGTAATAGATCCTAACATGGATAATGCATGCAAGATCATCTAGTCAGTTTTAAACTTATTTAAAATATGTTTAAACAATGATAACTTACACGCATTTGTCGAATATCATCTCCGGGTCTTCCACGCTCCATATTGACAGCTGCTCTTGGGGGTGGTATATTAGCTGCAAAATTTTTTAAATGAAGACCAAGTTTGAAGCAAATTCTACTTGACACCTTGTTGGTAATGTTCACTCTTAATTTCATAAATCAATTGAGTTGATTTAAGAGAGAATATAACCAAAATGCATCATGTTTTTCAAAATGTTTCAAAATAATCCAGTGATCATATCAGATCTTTGAATTGGTTTTATATATAAACACATTTACAAGTTAACTTCAACAGACTAGATATCCAATATCATAATCTAACAGGACAAATTGACAAAACGTAAAGACAACACACTATAAATTCAATAAATACTGAAAAATTTCACATAAATTTTAAGATGAATTGTTTAAAAAAAATTTCCAAAATTTTAATGCAAAATAAAGCCTTTCTCTTGAGAATTGTTTAAGTTTGACAACTAAATTGTCTATGCAGGAAACAAATTTGAGCAAAAGTTTTTTTTCTAAGAAAAATGTTCAATATGTAATTAAATATTAACTAACTACAAGTATATTTTGGGGAGTTACCTTTCTTCTTTTCCTAATGGTTTAGCAAAAAGGAAAAGAACATGTTTAATAGATATCACTTAAACTGGAGGATATAAATATTTGAGTCTTATTATAAAAGGATATGAATGTAAAAATATTTAAAATTTTGACAACAAATTAGTTTTAATTCCAAGATTCCTGATTTTTCTATGTATATCAATTCATAAGTTAAATAAGTCAGAGCCCACAGTTACATGGGCAGTTTGAGCCTCAGAGGTTCTTGTTGCATTCAGAGAGAAGTGTCTCTTTTCTCTCTACAAGCAGAAGAAATCTCCACACACAAACATGTGTCTACTCTTGCTACTAACTACTTTCATACCCCAAGAAACTTAGAAGTCAACTAAAGTAATTGTAACTTTTGACAGCTTATGGTATTAAATTTTTGATAGAAAGGATAAATGCTGTTGTAAAAACTATCTATAATTTTGTGAAAGCCTAAAAAAAAAAAAAAAAAAAAAAAAAGAAAAGAAGCCGCCAGCCTGAAACAAAAATTGACACATTTTTTCATCAAAACCAACCTAGACAAAACCTTGAACAAAGCAATTGAAAATGTTATTTCTTTCAGAAAATGTCTTTTTTTTTTTTTTTCACTCTTTGATAATTTAGATATTCAATCATCCAAACACATTTTTCGACCCCTGCCCCAAGGTGCCCAGAAAATCAGTATGGATTAGTTATAATAAATTTAATATAAGAAATAAGGTAACTGAACACAGGATACACTATGCTAAGGGTACTTTTGTCCAATACCATAAGAAGCTACAAAACTAAAAGATTAACCTGAGTCATGTTCTTAAATAGTTTTGTCAGATTTAAAATCTCATATGGATGTCATGTATGGAACCCAACTCATATCAATGTTTAAAAACAGCTTTCATTAATTGAATTCATCAAGTCTTAAAGACAAATTCTCATCAGACCCTATAATCTGGTGTTACAAAATCATAAAAAGCTTTATCAAATAACAAAAGCAACATCACTTGAAGATTTCCAACAGCAATAACAACTCTAAATGAATAACACATGTAACTAAAATAGAAAATAATGATATAATAAAAACATTGATTTTTCACATCACCTGAAATGAAAGGTTTAGAAATAAACTCCCATCAGTATTACAAAAAGCAACAACAGTAGACTTGAGAAGTCTGATTTCCCAAAAAACAGTTTTATAAAAAGATTTCATAAATTTCAACTTACAAAAAGGTAAACTGTTTGATCAATGAATACAAAATATTTCACCATTAAATTAATACAAATAGCATTATCTGTCTATATTTCTGAGATGAGATATCATGTACACTATTTACATTATTCGGACTATTGTCCTCATTTTTGTTGCCATATTTATTACATTTCGGCCGTTGCACGCTCCGGCCTTCTTCAGGTGGTTGGAATGTCGAACTGAACCCTTTATTTCGCTCACTGGGGTAGACTGTTCTAGTTCCATCTTTTAATGGATGTTAGTTGTCAGTTATCTCCTCTTAATACCCATCTCCAAGTTCTCCACTGCCTTAACTGGGTATTGAATTCACTCTTTGGGTCCTGTCACTGGATCTAACTAATGCCTTTATCCACTCTGCCATGTGTCCTTGAGGACATCTGTGTATGAATTTCTGGGTATTATAAATCTAATGTCTTCAGCGATCATTTTTTACAGTGCTCATATTGCAATTTTTGCTGTTATCATTGCATGTTTTTACCAGAGCTCATATTGCAATTTTTGTTGTTATCGCTTTTCTCTGGCACTTCTTATTACTGGTTCCCATATTGTATTCATTTCTATGCTTGGTCAGCTCAGGAGATTTTTGTAGCCTAGTATATGTGCTGATTCTTTAAGTTTAAGAATTTTCCAATGGTGTTCTTTGTCTATGATCTCAACCTGATCCCACAGAGGGTGATGATCTTCCTTTTCTCTCCATGTGGTCAGCCATGTCTGATATTTCCACTTCCCCTCGTGTTACAGATTTCTTACCTTAAGGGGACAGCCTGTCTCCCCTTTATATTTCTTTCCACAGCTGCATGGGATAACGTACACACAGTCTTTAGTAATGTTCTCCTCTATGGGGGGGGGTCTTACTCGGGAGAGATATCTGTGAAGTGTTGTCCAGCTTTTGAAGGTTATCCTGATCCTGATGCTTTATCACTTGTCACTAGAAGTTATCTGAAGGCCAAAAAGCATATTGATTTTGAATACTACTTACCAAAAATTTTTACTTCCTTACAAAAAAACTGCCAGAAAATTTTACAAACAATTTTTGGCTGTCAACAAGTAGCCATCTGGTTTCCAAATGAAAAAAAAAAAAAAAAAAAAAAAAAAAGATGTATTATTCAGCATCAAATATGTAAACATATTTGCTAATACATCAGCTTGTTGGTATCCAAGTAATTCTCAGCCATAGGTAAGCAGTAGAGACTGAATGGGGGTGGGGGATGTTGGGGATTGAGTGCTGTGGAAGGAAGATTGAACCTATATTGTATCCCCCAAGTCACATGACCAATTCTTGAATGAACAGAGAGACTGTAACAAACTTGTCCTGCTGTCCACAATTCCTTCTGAGTAAACATTAAGGAATTTATATAAGACAAACAATGACCTATATGTTCCATAACAATTCAATTTCCTAGGTCTTATAGAAGTTCATTTCATTGTCTCAAAATTCCAGAGACTTCCTATTATGAGTTGGTGTGAAACTCCAATATAGAAAGTATAAATAAAACTTGTTGAAAATTTAATGTTAAATACAGCAGTTTTGTTGTGTTTCAAATCCCAAAAACCATGTGTGTAATCCTGACTCAACTTGAACTTCACTGTAGGACATTTCAATGAGACATCATTTACTAAATCAAAACAGCATGCATGATTTCATTTGAATTCTTTCAACAGCAAGAAGACCTCCACTACTAGTGACCTGAGTAAAGGTTAGTGATAACTCAAAAGACAATTTTAATTGGCCAATACTGAATCGTCAGTGGCATTAACTTGCAAGATTTTATACTATATAATTTGATAAATTTAAACCTGGTTAATTCAATAGATTAAACACCAGGTAGTATTTTTATCTGGATATGAATTGAAAAGGTGCTGAAAGGTTTTTGAAGGATTAAAAAAAATATTCTGCTATTTGGTAAGATTTTGGAAGTAGGTCATGACAAACACTTTTCAGTAACCTTTGTAATAATAGAAATAGGTTTATTAAAAATGTGTGCAGTTTTGTTTCAATGTAAAATCTATATAATGAGTAGAGGCTCAAACCTTGTTTCTTGTTTAGGAAGGGATTCCCGGTACTCTCTTTCTCTCTCTCTGGCCTCTGTACTAGTGCAGCTCTGTTTCTCCCGTGATGTGTGCAGACTGTGGCATTACCTCTTCATTCTGAAGGTACACGGTTGACAGTTCTCTGGTTGCTGTTTCCGACCGGTAGTTAGGAGCCCTAACTTTTGAAAATTAAAATCCGTCTTAAGCGGCCGCTCTGATCAACAGTTGTATAAAACCAGGGTGTTTGCTAGTGCCATGTTGCTGCATGGAAAGGTGTCCCTGCTTGTTTCCTCGTGAGGCCACATTATGATGCAAGCTTGCCAACTCCTCTCTGCCCACATCACGGTTGATAACTGTCTTTGCTTCTTTTTTTTGGGCCTTCTCATCTTTCATCCATAATTAGAAACATGATGACTTACAAAAGACCGGAAGAATTAATCCTAAACCAGCCCCTCAAAAATCACCTAAACCCCTCAACATTTTTTCTCCAACATCCGTGGCATTAGAACAAACTTCTGCAGTATGGAGCGTTTTCCTCACTGCAAACTGCCCAGATATACTGGCTCTCTGTGAGACCAACCTTGTATTAAATTATGTCCCCTCCTAATTCTGATGATCCCAGGCTAATAACCTTATTTCTCCTTAGAAAAGACTCTCTAACCCACATGCACAGCCTTGGTGTCTATGTCAAGGACCATCTCTCTTGGCCTTTAAGTTGCTCTCGAATCACCAGACCAGTCATACATGTGTCTCCGACTATCTCTTCTCAATGCTTTAACACCCATCATACCTTAAGTGGCTTAAGAATGCTACTACTGACCACGCAGGCATTCAAACACTTAATTTTTCAGTTCCTCAATCCCCACTCGTTTTATCTTCAACCGAGAAGGTAAGGCCTCTCTTCTCGATTTGTGTTTTACCTCCATCATTGAGTCTTGTAGCACCACGCAACTCTGCCCTGTATGCTGTAGTATCTGTTAACATCTCCTTCAACTCCACCCCCTGCAAAGAACCTCCTACCACTAGAACTTTGTTCTACTATCAACGAGATGACTGGGACTTGTTCCATGATTTCCTCCGCGATGTCTCCTGGGATGTTGTCTTTATGCTCCCTGTCCAAAAAGGTGCTTCTGAGGTCTCATCCTGGGTTAAAGCTGGAATCGACGCTTTCATCCCCTCAAGGAAATATAGGGTCAAGTCGCGCTCCTCCCC